ATATGCAGTGTGTTAGTTATTGAAACTGTCCTACCGATTTGATTTGAAACTGTCTCATTGCTATCTGTTTATCAATAAAATTATGAAAAAAGAGAAAATGTCTTATTAAAAATAATAACGCATAGAATTTTCACCTTGGTGAAATCTGTATGCTGATATCTACAATCTAAACAACTACATCGAGGATGGCAATATGTAATACAGAAAAACATGCTTGAAAATAAAAAAAGCGGGGCTGGTGAGATGGCTCAGTGGTCTAAAGCACCTACTTAGAACAAGCTTAGCAAAGCATAGGGACAGCGGTTCAATCCCCAGCACCACATGCCAGCCAGCCCCGCCCCCTGGTGGGCTGAGCTGGCCACACACACAAATAAATAAAAAGAAAAAGAAAATAAAAAAAGCAAAACAGTGTTTGAACAGAGCCTGGCCCTCGCCTTCAGCACCGCCCTGCAGCCCAGCCTCGCCCGCCACCACCCTGACGACCACATCGCCCTTGCAAGTGCGCCAGAACTACCACCAGGAGGCCGAGGTCACCATCCACCGCCAGATCAACCTGGAGCTCTACGCCTCTACGTCTACCTGTCCATGTCTTACTACTTTGACTGCGATGATGTGGCTTTGACGAACTTCACCAAATACTTTCCTCACCAATCTCACGAGAGAGAACACGCGGAGAAGCTGCTGAAGCTGCAGAACCACCGTGGTGGCTGGATCTTCCTTCAGGATACTGAGAAACCAGACCGTGAGGACTGGGAGAATGGGCTGAATGCGATGAAGTGTGCGCTACAGTTGGAGAAGAGCGTGAATCAGCCCCTCCTGGAGCTGCAAGAGCTGGCCACTGAGAAGAATGACCCCCACCTGTGTGACTTCATCCAGATGCACTACCTGGATGAGCAGGTGAAGGCCATCAAAGAGCTAGATGACCACGTGACCAACCTGCGCAAGATGGGAGCCCAGGAGTCCAGCATGGCAGAGTACCTCTTTGACAAGCATACCCTGGGGGACAGTGACAATGAAAGCTAATGTCACCAAGACAGCACATGCATGTTGGGGCTACCTTAACCTTTTCTATAAACTGTACCAGAACATCTACTTAAGTTCAATTCCTTCAAATAAAGAAATTTGGTACCTGAAAAAAAAAAAAGAAGGAAAGAAAATCAGCTACAACCCTGACACCATAGCTTTTGCGCCAATTTCTGGTTGGAATGGTGACAACATGCTGGAGCCAAGTGCTAACATGCCTTGGTTCAAAGGATGGAAGGTCACTTGCAAGGATGGCAATGCCAGCGGAACCACACTGCTTGAAGCTTTGGATTGCATCCTCCCTCCCACTCGCCCCACTGATGAGCCTTTGTGGCTGCCCCTCCAGGATGTCTACAAAATTGGTGGTATTGGCACTGTCCCTGTGGGCCAAGTGGAGACTGGTGTTCTCAAACCTGGCAAGGTGGTCACCTTTCCTCCAGTCAGTGTCACAACTGAAGTCAAGTCTGTTGAAATGCACCATGAAGCTTTGAGTGAAGCTCTTCCTGGGGACAATGTGGGCTTCAACGTCAAGAACGTGTCTGTCAAAGATGTCCAGCCTGGCAATATGGCTGGTGACAGCGAAAATGACCCACCAATGGAAGCAGCTGGTTTTACTCTCAGGTGATTATCCTGAACCATCCTGGCCAGATCAGTGCTGGCTATGTCCCTGTCCTGGATTGTCACACAGCTCACATTGCTTGCAAGTTTGCTGAGCTGAAAGAAAAGATTGATCGCCGGTCTGGTAAGAAGCTGGAAGATGGGCCCAAGTTTTTGATATCTGATGATGCTGCCATTGTTGACATAGTTCCAGGCAAGCCCATGTATGTCGAGAGCTTCTCTGACTACCCACCTCTGGGTCATTTCGCTGTTTGCTATATGAGACAGACAGTTGCTGTGGGTGTCATCAAAGCTGTGGACAAAAAGGCTGCTGGAGCTGGCAAGGTCGCCAAGTCTGCCCAGAAAGCTCAGAAGGCTAAATGAATATTATCCCTGACACCTGCCACCCCAGTCTTAATCAGTGGGGGAAGACCGATCTCTGAACTGTTTCTTCCAATTGGCATTTAAGTTTAATAGTGAAAGACTGGTTAATGACAACAATGCATCGTAAAACCTTCAGAAGGAAAGGAGAATGTTTTGTGGACCATTTTTTTTTTGTGTGGCAGTTTTTCAGTCATTAGTTTTAAAAATCAATACTATTTAATAGAAACAACTTGACCAAAAATCTGTCACAGAATTTTGAGACTGATTAAAACAAAGTTTAATGAGAAGAAAAAAAAAGCTTCTGTATAGCAAAGGAAACAATAAAGAGACAACCTACAGAATGGGACAAAATTTTTCCACTCTTCCGTGGACAGAAGACTAATATCTAGAATATAAAAACAACTTTTAAAACTTAGACAATTCAAAATAAAGACCCAATTAAAAAATTGAAATGAATAGACACTTCTCAGAAGTGTAAAAGCCCAACAAACATATAAAATGTTTAATATCTCTGGCCATCAGAGAAATATAAATTAAAACAATGCTGAGATTACTTCTTACACCAGAAAGCATGGCAATCAGCAAGAAATAAAGAAATAGCAAATGTTGGCACAACTGTGGGGAAAAAAAACCGCTCCTATACTGTTAGTGGGAATCCAAACTAGTGTGACCATTATGGAAATCAGTATAGAGGTTTTATAAAGAACTAAAATTAGAAGCTCCATTTAGCCCAGCTAGTCCCCTGCTAGGTATCTTCCCCAAAGAGCTAGAGACACTGAACTATAGTGATGCATGCACACCGATGTCTACAGCAGCACAATTCATAACAGCTAAATCCTAGATGCAACCTGTGTGCCCGTGAACAGACAAATGGATAAAGTTATATCTATATCTGTATCTGTCTATATAATGGAATATACTTGGTTATGATGAAGAATAAATTTGAGACATTTGTAGGAAAATGGATACACCTGGAAAATATAGTGGTAAGAATAAATCAGACATACAAACTTAAGTACCATATGATATCTCTCTTGAGTAGGGCAAAGTGCAAGTGATGGTCAAAATAAAGGCTTGTTTGAAGGAAACAAAGAGATAGATCTCTTACAAATGGGAAGGGGTCCAGGAGATGAGGGCGAGGGAAGGAGGGAGAGAAAAAAGAAAGTAAAATAGATTTAAGATGTGTGCTTACATGTACCAAATGTAAACAGTATATGTCATAAACATGAATTAAAAAGAACAACAATGAAAATGGGGAAAGCAGATTTAGAGAGAAGGGGCTGGAGAGATGGCTCAGTGGTCTAAAGCACCTACTTAGAACAAGCTTAGCAAAGCACAGGGACCGCAGTTCAATCCCCCAGCACCACATGCCAGCCAGCTCCGCCCCCTGGTGGGCTGAGCTGGCCACACACACACACATAAATAAAAAAATAAAAAAATAAAAAAAAAAAAGATTTAGAGAGAAGGATGTTAGTGGGAAGGGGATGTTGAAAGAATCACACAGTGTTATGTATATGCACCAATTTTTTTTTTTTTTTTTTAGTACCTGGTTTAGAACTCGCAAGGTGCCATGCCATTGAGCTATATCCCCTGGCTACCTACTCGTTTTTTTTTTTTTTTTTTTTAATTTTTATTTATTTATTTGTGTGTTTGTGGCCAGCTCAGCCCACCAGGGGGCGGGGCTGGCTGGCATGTGGTGCTGGGGATTGAACTGCGGTCCCCGTGCTTTGCTAAGCTTGTTCTAAGTAGGTGCTTTAGACCACTGAGCCATCTCACCAGCCCCACCTGCTCATTTTTGAGACAAGGTCTTATGTATTTCAGGCTGGCTTTGAACTTCAAGCAATCCTCTTGCCTCAGCCTCTCCCAAGAGCTGGGATTATAGGCACATTCCACCACACCTGGTTATACCTACTCCTTAAGAGGACTGTAAACGTCATGTACTGCACACAAGTACTATAAAGTTTAATTTAAAAAAAAAACCACCAGTGGGTTTGTAATGATATTATTTGTTGGTCAGGGAATTATTGACCCTGGCAGAAACTGCCTTGTAAAGAAATGACTGGAACTGGACCCAGGCAAGTGAGGCATGCTCAGAATACAGGCTACTCAGGAGGCTAAGGCAAGACGATAACAGGTTCAAGATCAGCCTGGTTACTTAGACCATCTCAAAATAAGAAATAAACATTTAAAAAGGCTGGGGTGGTGGGGCCTAATGTAGTTCAGTGATAGTGTGTTCAGCATGCAAAAGGCCCTGCAGTTTCGTCCCTGGAAGTGCAAGGGAAAAAACGTGTTGAGAGGCAATCAACAGAACTCCTGTAACATACTTGTAGAGTAAAACAAATGAAACAACAAAATTGTCCCTCCATGTTCCACCTCGTTAAAAAAAAAAAAA